GTTCCAGTACACCTTCGTGCTAGTGCCCACCGGGTCTCCCGCACTGGGGTACCATTCAAAGCAGCCATTGATCCAGTTGGCGTCATCCGTCAGCTTGCCTACCCAGGTCAAGCCTGCAGAGACAGGCACGAGCGGCTGACTGAGGGTGGGGCACACGGGCTACAACGTCAATACATGCGTACCGCTTTCCTCGGCAACGCGTTGGCACTCGGCCTCGTCTCGCACGTCTCGGTATCCGCTTGGGCACGTTACATCGGGATAGGACTGGATGTCGATGTCAAGCGGGTCGTCAGGTTGCGCGCCGCAGTCAAACTTGTACGGCGACGGTACGAGGCCGGGGCTCTCGAAAGTGCTCGTCACGGGCCGGTCGTAGTATGCAAACACGAACGGCGGCTGCTCGCACTGCCGGGACACGGTATCCTCGGCCTGGGGCAAGATCACCTCGCTCGCTTCCTTGTCTTCATCGTCCGAGAGCATCAGCCCGAGCGGGCTGCGGCTCGGGAACCAGCATGGCACCGGGTCGCCTTGGGATGGCATCGGGTCGTCTTGGAATCGCGTGGGGTAGCTCGCGTGATTGAGGATGGGGCCTTCCGAAGCCGTGGCGGCATTGTATGCCACACACGACCAGGTTGAAGGCGGGCACGCGTCGACCGGCTTGTGCTGGTACTTCAAACAGTCCGCGTCATCAAGCGAACAAGAGCCTCCGTTGTCGCACGTGAAGGAGACGGCGCATGGCGTGTAGTCGGGATTCCCATCCGCGTCGCGAACGCTGCACGTGGTGCCGTCCGCTGGCGCGAGGCAGAGCCAGTCGCCGCTGTCGTCCGTCGGTGTGTCGAGTCCTCCGACCGCACTCTGGTCGTAAACCGCATTGCACCAAGCCCCACCGTTGGGGAGGCAGGAGCTTGCCTCCTGTCCGTACATGGAGGCGCGTGCGAGTTCGTTGTCGCAGGAGCACCAGCTCAACTGCGAGCTACCTTGGTAGTCCTGAAGCGCGAAGTAGCGATAGTCGGTGCACGCGTCCGCACAGGTGCGTGCGTCGTAGCCGTATTTGTGCGGGCCGAAGCGTAGGGCGCGGGAGGACTCGATAGCCGTGGTCGACAGTATGCATATCTTGTGGCCCCCATTTTCTCCAGACGTGGCCCTTACCTTGTTGTCGCACTGGCACGTCTTGACAAAGCCATTTGCGGGGTCGCCAAAGTTGTCGTTGTCGCACGATTGCGAACCGTCCTTTTCGTACCAGCTCGAGCCTTTGCCGTAGCGAGTCGTGCCGCCGGGACAGTCGCAGTACCCACCCTCCGTGGCACATTCAGACCATTCGAATCGGTCATTCCAGTAAACGTCCTTGCTCGTCCCCGGAGGCGCCCACGTTGGTGGTTCTCCCTCGTACCACTCGAAGCAGCCGCCTATAATGTGTTCGGACATGTCATGGACGTGCCCTAGAGCCTAGTCATCTCCGCCTCTGCGTGCTCGAGCGACCGATCCAGTTATCGTCGGGGTTGTCCATCGCGTTTCTCCAATTCAGGCCTGCGACAACACGGTCATGTTGATCGCGCGAGCGTTGCGGATCGTCACAGGGGTGTGGGAGGGTGGCGCACACCGTTCGAAGTTGCCACTTGCTGGCACTCGTTCGCGTCCTTCACGTCGCGGTATCCCGCCGGACATGTCACATCGGCGTACCGGAGGATCGTAAACGACGGGTACGCAGGCGGGCTCTTTGCCCCAGCGGCTCCATAGTCCTTATAGGAGCCGACTGCCACAAAGGGCTCAACTGGAGCACCCGTCGGAGGATACATGACGGTGCCAGCAGGGCAAACGACCGTGCTCGTGCCGCGATCCGGGTTGATTTTGGCGGCCTTCACGCAGCATGGGAACTCGTCACCACAGCCCTCGGAGTAGAACGGGCAACCGCAGTCGCAGTCTGGGCAGTCAAAGTTCTTCCACCGTTCCGATTTCGGGGTCGCATCAATGTCGTCCCTCGTGGGACAAGAGAGTCCATCACCTGTGTCCGTAGGGTCGCATGTGCCGGCCGGCAGATTGTCCTTGAATGTTGCTGGGACCCAGTCGACGATCTCACACGAACCCGGGGTGCAGGACAGCGTGGCCTCACGGACGCCAAGGGGTGGCGGGAGAGGTGGTGGCGGCGGCGGGAGCGACGCTTCGATCGTCAGGTCCTTTTCAGACCAATAGTCGTTGTCACCGCAATCCAGATACCAAGTATACGTGCCGATCGGGAAGTTTTTGTACGATGTCGCCCACAAGTAGCCAGTCCATTGATGCGACGAAGAAAGGCCAGTAAGGTCACTAAGTGCGGTGACGCTTGGGGCCATGTCATCAATGTACCACATCCCGTATCCGAGCGAGATGAGTTTGTCGAGTGAGTAATAAGTAGAACCCGAGTAGTCATAACTGTAGTATGGGTCCCAAAACAGGTAGCGAGAATAGCCAGGGGATTCGGCAAAGTAGTAGGGTGCTCCCGAGGCGGTCGTTCCAACTTTGACCCACTTGGTGTTTCGCATATCGCCGAAGTTCCCTTTCGTGCAACCCTCCATCATCACGAATGACTCTGGGAACACCTCTGTCTCCGGCGGTTCGCTGTCGCTGCTGTCCACGTAGAGTTGGCAAGGAAAGCGCCCATTCTTCTGCGCTGAGACCATGCTTGACGAGGAGGAAACACGGCCCGAGTACAGCACGCACTCGGCGCCACACTTGTCGCTACTGTTCACCTTGAAGACGCTGATGGCCCACTCGTCCTGCGACCCGGCGGGCGGGTCGTCGCAGGAGGAGGTCGGCTCGAGGAGCGCGATGTTCTTGAGGTCCCAAACGGCGTTCGCGAGCACGTCCACCGCGCTGTACGCCTTCTCGCCAACCACAACGCCGTCGTCTCCAATCTCGACGGCGCCGTGATCTGGCGACTTGGTGTAGGCGACCGAGGTTGACGGGTGGAACTTGAAGGTAATGTCTGCGATGAAGGCGCCCGACGTGTCGGCCGCAGACTCGGCGGCAAGCCGCTGCGACTTGGGCGTGACGGAGAGGTCGGAGCAGATGCCGGCCGCGGCGACCAGCCACGACCGGGGGCGTGCGGGTACTTCCGGGGGCGTACGGGGCGACCCGATGGAGGCAAAAGCTGGCTGCCGTGCCGTCGGCTTCATGCTCGACATCAGAGGCGTTGGCGCCAGGCGCCGCCGGAGGCTGCGCCGCGCCTGGTCGGAGAAGGTGTGCGACTCGACGAAGAGCTGGCAGAGGAACCGGCCCTCCTTGCGCGCCACAAAGTTGTCCGACGCGCCCGAGACGAGGCCGGAGAAGTGCACGCACTCCTCGCCGCACGCCTCGTTGCCGGTCACCTTGAAGACGCTGATGGCCCACTCGTCCTGCGACCCGGCGGGCGGGTCGTCGCACGAGGAGGTCGGCTCGAGGAGCGCAATGTTCTTGTTGGTCCATGTGCCCGCGGCGAGCACGTCGGTCTGGCTGTACTCCTCGCCGCGGATCTCGATGCCGTCCTCGAGCGAGGCGGCCTGGTCGAACGGGGCGTCGGTGAAGGCGACCGACACCTCGGGGTGGAACTTGAAGTCGATGCTGCCGTCAGGCGCAAAGGAAAAGTCGGAGCAGAAGCCCGACGCGGCGACGAGCCAGTCCGGATCGTCGACTGGGTTGGGCACCGGCGGCCGCGGCGCGAAAGTCGGGACGCGGCCGTCCGGCGCGTGGAAGAGGAGGTCAGGCGCGGCACCGGCGAGGCGGGCGAAGGCGAGGAGCCACCAGGCCCTCATCCCGACTGGCCGCCGCCTCGCGTCCACGGTGGTGGTCCGCGAGCGCGAGCGTGGGCAGCACGGACAAGGCGATGCTCCCCCCCAGGAGTTGTTCCCCTCGTCGTTGTCCACATCAAACGTGGCCGCGATTTCTTTAAATTCAGAAACCTCCAGGAAAACCGGGCGCGACACAATCAAGGCCGTTGACAGGTGAATAGAATCTTGTCGCATGGGCAGCGCGCCATCTTCAAGCAGATGTGCGACGTAACGATCGGCAGAGCGTCGGCGGCTTCAACCAAGCGTTCATTCATGGAGATCGCCGCCGCGGGGCACACGCGCTACGGCGCGGGTATGCTGCCCACTGCAGCCTCGAATGCTGGCGCCAGACTGGACTGGCTGAGGGAGGGAGGGCGGGGGGGCGGTGCGGGGGCGGGGGCGGAGGGGGGGGGGGGGGGCAGTGACACAGAGCGCACCACCGCACTCGAGAGAATACTCCGAGAGTGGAGACTGGGGCACGATGCGCACGTGGTGTTCGGGCAGCTCGCACCGTGGTCACTCGCGAGTCGCGTCGGCACCGGGTCGGCAGACGGCTCCGCAGCTCCGCACTGTACGGATTGGTGGACAGCGTGATGCGTGTGTGCACTGCCGAGCGCCTTGTGCGTGTCTGCCCGCTGGGTGGACAGCGGCGTGATGCGTGTGCCGTGTGCGTGTCTGCCCGGTGTGCGGTGGGGCGCCTGCGAGACGACAAAAACGTCTCCGGTTTCGATTTCATGGATCATTCTGTTTTTAACGTACACGGTACAGCTACTCAGGTTGCATGCTACGGCTAGACATCATCGGCATCGTAGTCGTCGAACATCTCGTCGAAGTCGTCGTCGTCGTCCTGCTCCTCGCGCACAAGCGGGGGAGGCGCCACGCACCGCCGCCTCTCCCGCGGTGGTCGCATGCCTCAGCGCGCGCTGCTTGAGCGGTGACTCCCTGGCGGCGGCGGGCACGCCCACCGGCGGCTCCGGCGCCTCATACCACGAAGCTTCGCCGGCGGCGCTGCCGGCCGATGCGGTCGCTGGCGTCGGCACGGCCGCGGCTTCGCGGAAGGCGTGCGGCGTGCGGCTCGCGGCAGAGGCGTAGCCATCCAACCCGCGGCCCTCGGGGGAATCGCAGCGGCGGCGCGCATCCGCCGCCGCCGCGGCAAACGCTGCCGCCGTGTCGGCGTGCGTGTGATACATGATCGGCTCTCTAAACGCCTGAAGAGACGTGTTACCCCACAGACAGCCGCGCGTGCCGCGCCATCGCCAGTCGCAGCAGCCGCGCCTGGGCGGCCGCGGGAAGCCTCGCCGCCGCCCCCAGCAGCTCCTGCAGCTCCCACCGCAGTGCGGCGGCGGCGGCGCGCGAGGCGGCGGCGGTGCTGTATGCGTCGAGCAGCAGCAACGCGGCGTGCAGCAGCGCCACCAGGAGGCCCAAGCCTTCCGCGCCGAGGCTGCCGTCTCCGGCAAGGGTCAGCGCCCGCTCCGCGCTGTGCAGGAGCTCCCCAACCTCGGCGTGCGCGGCGCGCGCGGTGAGGAGGCGCCGCGCGCGGAGCGCCTACCAAACGAAATCCGCCGCGCTGGTCCGCGGCACCGTTTCCGTTTTGCGCTGCCGTGCGCCGCGCGGCGGAGCGCCTACAAAAAGAAATACTGCGTGCGGGCGCCCCGATTTCTTTTTTTGAGCTGGCGCCGCGCGGCAGGGCGCCGTCGCGCCGGCGCGCGCGAGGCGCGACGCGGCGACGGCGAGGAGGCAGGCGGGCAGCGTGGCGAACAGCTGCAGGTTGAGCTTGTTCGAGTCGACAAGCCGGTCGAGCGTGTCCATCGCGCGCAGGGACTGCAGCTTGAGCGCCTGGACCTGTGGGGGCATCACAACGTGTGCGTGCGTGCGTGCGTGCGTGCGTGCGTGCGTGCGTGCGTGCGTGCGTGCGTGCGTGCGTGCGTGCGTGCGTGCGTGCGTGCGTGCGTGCGTGCGTGCGTGCGTGCGTGCGTGCGTGCGTGCGTGCGTGCGTGCGTGCGTGCGTGCGTGCGTGCGTGCGTGCGTGCGTGCGTGCGTGCGTGCGTGCGTGCGTGCGTGCGTGCGTGCGTGCGTGCGTGCGTGCGTGCGTGCGTGTGCGTGTGCGTGTGCGTGCGTGCGTGCGTGCGTGTGTGCGTGTGTGCGTGTGTGTGTGGTGGGGGGTGGGGGGGGGCGAAGCGGGTGGAGGAGGGGAAGCAGAGGAGGGGAGGAGCGCTGGAGAGGAGGGCGAGGGAGCGCCTGCAGCAGCAGCAGCCGCACCATCTTCCCTGAGAGCAGATTGCGCACGGCACCTGAAAAAAAGAAACGCAAGCTGAAAAAAGAAACGCACCATCTTCCCTGAGAGCAGATTGCGCACGGCACCCGCGCGCATCTCCTCCTCGTATGCGCGCGTCGCGGCCGCGAGCGCCTCGGCGCGGCTAAGGCCCTCGCTCGGGTAAAGGTCCTACAAAAAGAAATCCGCGCTGCACCGACGATTTCTTTTTTTGAGCTCGCTCGGGTAGAGGTCCTGAAGCATCGTCTCGAGCGACGCCTCGGCGTCCTCGACCTGCGCGGTGGACACGCCAACCTCGAGACTTGTGCAGAGTCTTCACGGTGAACACACCAACCTCAGGGCGAGTGCGGCCTTGCGCTGTGTCATCAGAGCACCGCATGCGGGCGAGAATGGCTACGGATGCAGTGAACACGGCCGAATATACGGTTGACTCCGGCGCAGTCTGTGTCCTCTCGAGCGCCGGCTGGAGTACAAGAGTACGTGGATTCCGCTTCTAGGGGACGGCGACGGCGGTCGGCTCGCTCAGAGGCTGCCGCCGGTTGAGGAGCTCGAGAGCGATCTCGCGCACCTGAAAAAAAGAAACGCGGCGCGCGTGTGAAGAGGTGGCGCCAGCGAGGGAGTGTCTTGCAAGCTTGTGTGCGCGCGCGTGTGTGTGTGTGTGTGTGTGTGTGTGTGTGTGTGTGTGTGTGTGTGTGTGTGTGTGTGTGTGTGTGTGTGTGTGTGTGTGAGAGAGAGAGAGTGTCTGTCGTCTCCTGTCCACGTTCGCCCATACCGAGGCAACATATCGAGGCAAGTGTCTCGGAAGTGTCGCGCACCGGAGCGACGAAACGCCGCTCGGCGATGCCGCCGGCGAACCGCACCGACGCCGCGCCGCCGCGCCGAATCGCGTGCCAGTGCGGCGCAACCGCGTTGTGCAACGCGAGCGAAGCGGCGACGGCCACCGCGTCGCCGCTCAGCCCGCTCAGCCGCCGCCCGCGCCTAGGAGGGAACACCTTCCGCCGAACCTGGCGCCGAGAGGGCGACGGCGGCGGAGCACGCTCAGCCGCCGCCCGCGCCGTCCACGCACCAGCTTCGCCCGCTCCAGCCCCTCGCGCCGCACCGGGCCCATGGCGGTAACAATGTCGAGCGCCGCGGCGACGCCGTCGGCGCCGCCGTCCGCCCGCCACTCGCTGAGCGCCTATCGGACATGTCCCGGACATGTCATGGACGTGTCCTGGACAAGTCTCCGATGCGGTACTCGAGGCCGCCGCCTGATCGGACATGTCCCGGACATGTCATGGACGTGTCCTGGACAAGTCTCCGATGCGGTGCTCGAGGCCGCCGCCTGATCGGACATGTCCCGGACATGTCATGGACGTGTCATGGTCATGCACCCATGCACATGCACCCCCCCCCCCACACACACTCGCTGAGCGCCTCGAGTGAAGCACGCGCCGCCGCCGCCAGCGCCTCCGGCACGGCCAAGTCTCGGTCTGCCGCCGTCAGAGGCACCAAGAGGGTGGCGAGGGAGTCGCAAGTGATCTTGCGCGCGGCTGTCGCCCACGCCTCCGCCTCCTGCGACGCCGCCTCCGGTGTCAATGCGCCCGTGCCCGCCTCCGCCTCCGCCTCCGCTGCCGCCTCCGCCTCCGCTGCCGCCGTCGCCGTCGCCTCCATCGTCGCCGTCGCCTCCATCGTCGCCGTCGCCGTCCTGCTCTCTGCTGCACCTCGCACCTCGCCTCCCTCCCCGCCCCCCGCCTCCGCCCCCCCCTCCCGCTGAGCCGTTGCGGCGGCCACGCGGCGGGCGAGCGCGCTTTCCGCACCTGCAGCATAGAGGCACCAAAGGGAGGTGGGCCTCTGCTTTGGTTCTTTCTCTGGCCGTGGTCGCCCGTCAGCAGCCTCCTCTCTCTTCTCTCTCACGACACTCCTGTGCGGCATGGGCTTGAGATCTGCGCCTCTGTCTCTGCCATAGTCTCTGCCGTCGGCCCGTCCTTCTGCCATAGTCTCTGCCATAGTCTCTGCCGCCGGCCCGTCCTTCTGCCATAGTCTCTGCCATAGTCTCTGCCGCCGGCCCGTCCTTCTGCCATAGTCTCTGCCATAGTCTCTGCCGCCGGTCCGTCCTTCTGCCATAGTCTCTGCCATAGTCTCTGCCGCCGGTCCGTCCTTCTGCCATAGTCTCTGCCATAGTCTCTGCCGCCGGCCCGTCCTTCCAGCGTGTGCCGTACGACGGATCCAGCGCGCAAGAGACGGAAGCCACAGGAGCACAGCGACTGCAACTGAGTACAGCCGAGCACGTCTCGAAGCAGCCCACCGCTGAATATGCGAGATCGCAATCTCCCCAGGGTTCGGCTCCAGTGTGGGTAGGGGATCCCCTACCCCCAGGGAGGTGGAACCCGCACTGGACGCGCGTCTCGGCAGAATATGCCGCTGACTGAGCTCCCATCTCTCCCCAGATCTGATCTCCGCATCCAGGCCTCGAGATGTGGGGGGAGGTGTGGGGAGATGCGCCACATGCGGGCCTCGAGATGGGGGGAGATGTAGATGTGGGGAGATGTGGCCCACATCTAGGCCTTCGCACTTGCCCCGAAGGCGGAGAGCGAGGGGCGAGCCAGCAGCACCGCCTGCACCTGCGGACATCAGCAGTGTGTGTGTCTAGGGAGTGTCTAGGGAAGTGTCTACAGGAAGTGTCTGGGAAGTGCCTAGCGCCCGCCGCACCTCGCCCAGCAGCGAGAGGAGGAGCCGCCGCTGCCTGCTCGCATAGGCGGCACGCCTGCAGGGCATGCCACGGACGCGTGGTCATGGACGCGTCACTGTCATGGGCATGCGCCGAGCAAGAGAATGGCAGCTCCTCCGCCGCTCCGCCAGAGGCGTCAGGCTCAGCGTCCGCGTCGCCGCCGCCGCCCACCTCCTCTCCGCGAGGTGCATCGCCGCCTCAGCCTCGAGCAACTCGGCTCGCAGCGCGCGCAGCAGCACGTCCACCGCACGCAGCTGCACGAGCGCAGCGGCGAGGGGCAACGCCGCCGGCTCGGCGCGCGACGGCGGCGGAGGCGGCGAGAAGCACGAAAACAGCCTCACGCGGCGGCGCTCGGCGGCGGCGTCGCTGTACGCCGCCCTGGGAGGAGAAGGAGGAGGGGTCGCGGAGGCGGGAGGAGGAGACTCTCGGCTCCTCTCGGCTCCTCTCGGCTCCTCTCGGCCCCTCTCGGCCCCTCTCGGCCCCTCTCCTCTCAGCCCCTCTCCTCTCGGCCCCTCTCGGCTCCTCTCGCCTGCCCCTCAGCTCGGTGGCCCGCGTCAGCGCTTCCGCCGCCGCGGCGACATAGGTGGCGCGGTTCTCTGCGCTCGCGGTCAGCGACAAGGCGTCGCAGAGGGAGCGTGCATGCTCAGCGGCGGCGGCGGCGGCGGCGGCGGCGGCGGTGGCGTCGGTGTCGGTGGCGGCGGCGGGCGACGCATCGTCATCGGACGCCGCGGCGGCGGCATTCGCGGCCGTCTCCTCGCACGCTGCCGCCGCCTCGGCCGCCGCTTCGGAGAGGACGCTGCCGTACACGCAGTAGTCGCGGTCCGAAGGGTCGATCGCCGTCGGCGCTGAGCCCGGGCGCCGCAGCAGACGCGCGGGGTCGGCGAGGGTCGACTTGCGGCGGCGCACGCGGCGGTGCAGCAGCAGCGCGACGACCGCGCCGCACGGAGGCCGGAACGAGAGCAGCGTCGCCAGCGGCTGCAGCAGCTGCAGCAGCGGCGTTTGGTCGAAAGGCAAGAGACACCAGCGGATCGACCGGAGGCGGCCAAGCTGCTGCTCGAACGCACGCCGTAGCAGCGAGCGAGGGGGCGGTGGAGCAGGCGGCGGCGGCGGCAGCGCTGTCCGCCTGCCGGTTAGGCCCGAGAAGAGGCGAGGCCTCTTCGGGCGGCTGGCGTTGGCAGTCCCAGACGTCCCGGGCGATGCTAGCGCGTCTAGAATCGCCCGTGACAGGCGGAGTTGCGCGCGGCCAAGCCTCGTCATACCATCGGCGGACGCGACGGGCGCCGAGGCTAGGAGGAGGAAGGTGGCGAGCGAGCCGGACATGAGCCAAGAGGGGGGGGCGCTGAAAAAAAGAATTCTCCACTCGAATTCTAGCCTCGAGTACGCTCTCTCGCACGCCACTGGGCACGGGACTGGCGCGCACTGGCACTAACACAGGTACACCACGGGAGCCGCCAAGCGACTCCTAAAAGCCAAAAAGAATTCGCCGCGATAGAGGGCATAAAAAAGAATATTCCATGATACACATCCCTTCTCAGGGCTCACCATCGGACGATGGGTTCCATCCGCTAATCACACAGGGCGCGGGGCGAGCCACATCATCACCGGCTCGCGGCAATACGGACACTCTCGCATCAGCTCGGAGCATGTACCGCAAGCGCACAAGTGGCTGCACGGCACCGCGAGGTGAGACTTCGGCCGCTCGAAGCATATGATGCACGACGTCTCGCCTCCCATGGTGGACTCGGGGGCAGCCTGTCGCCCCGTGTCGAGGCCGGCGCCCGCTAGTGAGACGGCAGCAAGCGGCTCGGTGACTGGCAGATGCTGCTCCGCCGCCTCTGCCGCCTCTTGCTCGATCAAGCGCTCGATGGCGCTGACCCGCTCCTCGAGGCTACCCTCGGTCGCCGCGCCGAGGCTCGCCTCCAGCCGATGGACACGCCGCTGCAAGTCCCCGCCGCCGCCGGTCGACTCGCTGCTCACCGCCTCCTCGCAACGCGACACCCGACGCGCCAGCGCCTCCTCCGCATCCGCCTCTGACCGGCGCAGCGCCTCTGCTAGCTCCACATCCTCGCGCAACGCCACCCGCTCTGCCGCGCCCTCTTGCTCTGCCGCCTCGCGCTCCGCTAGCCTCGCCGCCTCCTGCTCAGCGCCAGCTGCGCCGCCCTCTCCTCCTGTGCGCGAAGCTCTGCCGCAGCCTTCGCCCTCCGCTCCTCCTCGAGCTTGAAAGCTAACGGCGCCTTCTTGGCCTTATTGTTCTTCTCCTTGGCCTCCTTCCTAACCGCTTTCTTCTCGACCGCCTTCGCCAGCCGCTTCGCCTTCTCCTCCTCCGCCCTTCTATCCGCAGCCTCCTTCTCGCGCCGCTCTGCCTCTGCCTGAGCGGCCTTGCGCTCCGTAGCCGCCGGCGAGCCAACGCAGCCGAGACGCGAGAGATAAATTCTCCGCAAGCGAGTAGCGAGAGAGCCGTACGGAGAGCGGTGCAGAGCGCGAACTCGCCGTACTGGAGAGGTTATTAGTCCCGCTATGGATATGTAAGAGCCACTAATGCAATTGTCGGCCACCTTATGCACATCCATGCCCACGGTTCGTAGGACGTCGCTGAGACGTCGTGTATTTTGGTGCCGTGTCAAGCCGGGTGGAGGCTCAGTGATGCGTCACGCATACGCCTCGCTTTACGCGTGCAGACAGAAAGCACGATCGGTGATTTCAAATGTGCTGCGTATTATGCGCACGTCTTCTGTCCCGATCGTTACCACCGACCTTCTGGCCGCTACGCACCACGCACCACGCATCTGTTTTATGTAAGCTTTGCCAGAGAGGCTCTCTCGGGCCGCTACGCACGGTGTATTACGCACAGGTCTTACGCAGTGGGATCGTAAATCGGGGCTGGGTGAGCCTATGACCGACGCATTACGCACATGCTCTACGCTCTCGACCGTGAACGGCGGCGGAGAGGGGGTTACGCCTCATGTATTACGCATACGTCTGACGCATCGGTCGCCATGGGTGTCGTTTGGAGCTTACGTCCCACGTATTACGCACACGCACGACGGATTTGACTGAGAAGTGGCGGCCAGCAAGGGTTACGCCTCACGTATTATGCATACGTCTGACGCATCCGCCCCACCTAACCCCTAACCCCTAACCCCTATAACCCTTAACCCCTAACCCCTAACCCCTAACCCCCACCCCCCTAACCCCCTAACCCCTAACCCTTAACCCCTAACCCCTAACCCCTAACCCTGACCTTGAGGGCCGCCCTGAAAAAAGAATTCAACAAAAGAACTCTCTCGCACAGCACACAGGTTCGACACAGGAAAAAAGAATTTAAAGAATTCTTAAGATACAAGCCTCTCTCACAGCACACTGGCACGACAAGGGCGCGGACTGGCGCGGACTGGCACACAATTTAAAGAAGGAACTCTCTGTGTTTCGCCTTCCCATCAATCAATCAATCTCTCTCACAGCACACAGGCTCGACACAGGTGCGAACTGGCGCGTGCTAGTACTATCACCGGCACACCACCGGAGCCGCCTAAGCGACTCCGTTAAGAACGGCAATGCACTTAGCTCCGTGCACAATGCCGCTGTCCCCGCACGCTAGCTCGTTCACCGTCTGCCACGCCACGGCGGTGTGGAGAACGACAGACAAGCGCTGCATCTGCAGCCCGTGCCAGTTCTTGGTGGTCCATGTGACCTCATCGAGGTGCTGAGCGTGCGAAAGTTTGTTACTCAGCTGGTCCGCCGCCTGCCGAAGAATTTTGCGGACGCCGTCCCCGAAGCCGCCGAACGTCTCGAAGTCGAGCAGACTGAAAAAAGAATTTAAAACACGGATCTCTCACAGCAGACAGGCTCGACACAGGTGCGAACTGGCGCGTGCTAGTACTATCACAGGCACACCACCGGAGCCTGAAAAAAGAAAATGCCGCGGCGATTTTAGAAACAATAGAACAAGGAAAAGAAATCGCTCGGGCGGGGAGAGAGGGGGGGCGGGTCTGAGCTGCAACCGGTGGTGGACGGTACCGATACATGCATGATATCTCTTTTATGTCCCACCATGCAGAGCGCATCTCTCTCTCTGTTGTGCGAGGCGTGAACCGCGCCATTCGCTCTCACCTGACAACCCTGTCAGCACGTCTCGCGCGCGCGTGAACAGGGCAACATCATTGTGCAGGGGCTCCAGGCCCCAAATCGCAAATGACGTGTGAGTGCTAGAGTTGTTTGGTATTGGCTATTGCTAAAAGTCTCATACCACAGGTTCATACCGATTGACAACAGCACCTGGCAAGCAAATATAAATAAATACATACACACACAACTACACCTACTGAAAAAAGCCGCAGTACAAATCCTTATAGACGGAAAAGATAGTCTCTCCGTGCCGCCGCGACGCGCATCCCGCCGCTACTTCTTCTTCTTCCGCCCTCGCTCCTTCTTGGCTTGCTCGACCTGGCTGATCTCGTCTTGCAGCTGCCGCTGCCCCTTGGCAAGCACGTCCTGTGGGATCGACGCCGCGAAGGCCCGGAAGACCGCCTCGGCGGTGGCGGGCGGCACGGGGCCGGGCGTCGCGAAGACCCCGCGGTCCTCGAAGGCGGGCCACGCGCGGCCGCGGTTCTCGTGCTCGTGGAAGCGCACGGTCTCCTTGATGACGGAGCGGAAGTTGGCGGCGTTGCAAGTCTGTCCGGCAATCGCGAGGGTCAGCTCTGTGTTCCGCGCCTGGTGCCACCACCCACTCGGGATCACAAGGTACTCCCCGGGGCCGATGGAGCCCTCGTACACCGGGGCTTTCTTCCGGAGCCGCTGCAGGACCTTCCTCCCTTCTTTGCTCCAGAAGCTCAGCCGACTCGTCTCCTGGTACTTGAAACTCGGCAGCGGCAGGCCGCTGGTTGTCCGCGCTGGCCGGAACTCCTGGTCATGCGCCCCCGGGGGCACAAGGACCCACTCCTTCCGCCCAAAGAGAACGAGGTTCGACCCAGTCCAGTTGAAGGGGTCGACGTGGATCGAGCTCTCCGAGTGCTCCGTCCCCAGAAGGAAGAAGGCCGGGAAGCTCTGCACCTCCGCCGGCAGAAGAGGGAAGAAGTCCTCCGCCGCCAGCAAAGGGGGTGGCGGGCAGTCCCGGAGCAGGTCCGGCACGCGCTGGGTGACGGTCTCGTCCATCACGTACATCCACTGGTCCGGGGTCACGTGCTTCCGCATCGTCTCCAACGCCGCGAGCTCGAAGGCGAGCCCCTGGCGGTCCTTCCCCGTGGCCGCCGTGGCCGCGAAGCGCGTCTCGCCATGCGCCGCGAGTAGCTTCTCCCACGTCCAGGCCAAGCAGGGCGCGTCGTAGCCGCGCTCCACGATCACGGGCAGCTGGCCGTCGTACGCAGCAAACTCGGCCCCGGTCAGATTCGCCACGCGCGGGATCGCCGCGCGGCCCGCCGCGCCGACGCGCACCGCGTGCACGTACCCCGCCAGCTCCGCCGTGCACGTACCCCGCCAGCTCTCACCCCCGCTCGGCATCACAACCCTGCGGCCGAGCCGAAAGGGTACGCGGGTTTCCTGGTGAGCGAAGGTGAGACGCGGTACCACGACGAAAAGAATTTTACAAGTGTACCTGTGTTAGTGCCAGTGCGCGCCAGTCCCGTGCCCAGTCCTGTGCCCAGTGTTGTGCGACGAAAAGAATTTAAACAATACGAGGATTTTTTTCTCGACGAAGAAAGTGCCGACGCCCTCGTCCCCCCGCGCGCAGTGGTGGCCGGAAGGCCGCGCGCCGCGCGCGTTCGCCAACACAACCCCCTGAATATGCACGCGTCGTCGGGAGAAGATCACGTGCGACGCACCACTGAGCAGCATTATAAGGATATGCGCCAGCACCAGTGTCTGCATTACCAGAGGCAGATGGAGGATGAGTGGCTACAATTCAACAAGGCTGAGATGACAATCAAGCAGGCTTTGGACATGATGGACACATTCGTTGACAAATCTGATCCTGCCACGTCGCTGCCTACTGTTCATCACATGATGCAAGTTGCAGAGACGATGCGATGCTGTGGGGAGCCAGATTGGATGCAGCTTGTGGGGCTGATTCACGACTTGGGCCATGTGATGGCTTTTCCCTTGGGCAGTGAGCAGGAAAGAAAGAAAGAAAGAAAACAGACAAACCCAGACGAGGGATGGGGGAGGAGGACAGGGTCCCCACCTGCACGAGCAGGATTTTGGAAGGACGATCAGGGGGACAGGTATAAGTCTCCTTTTGAGTCTCATGGTTCTCGACGAAATCATTGTCGCAGCGGTGTCAGCAGCAGTTCCCGTTCTCCTCACCACAGTGCTCACGACGAAGTGCTGCGCGTGGCCTGAGCCCGTGAAGGCACCGAGCACCGATCAAAAACGTGCTGCAAACAAAGCAGAGGCTGAGAATGCGCACAGTGTGTCCGATGGAAACGCGGACGAGGAGGTTCAGGCCAATGCGGACGAAGAGCTTCAGGCCAAGATGGCGCAGCTGCAGGTCGCGAGGCAGATGGCGGAGATGGATGCTCAGCGCGAGCGCGATGCGAGCCGGCTGATCGAGCTCGGAGCCGAAACGCGTGAGCGGGCAATCGCATTGCTTGAGCGGTACGGCTCGTTGCGAGCGGCTGCGAACACGTTGCGAGCGGCTGCGGACGCCTCCATTCCTTCATCAGAGGTGCGGAAGTGGGTGGAGCAGCTGCGCAGCGGCACAGACGGACAGAAGGAGAAGGCCGCGTCGGAGCTGCGGGAACTCGCTTTCATCGCCGACAACAACAAGGTGGCGATCGCGAAGGCAGGCGGCATCGTGCCGCTGGTGGCGCTGGCTCGTGGAGGCACGGAGAAGCAGAAGGTGGCGGCCGCGGATACGCTGGGGTGGCTCGCTTTCAACGCCGATAACCGGGTAGCGATCGCGAGGGCGGGCGGCATCGCGCCACTGGTGGCGCTGGCTCGCTTCGGCACGGACGGGCAGAAGGAGTGGGCCGCGGCGGCGCTGGGGAACATCGCTGTCAACGACGACAACCAGGTGGCGATTGCAAAGGCGGGCGGCATCGCGCCGCTGGTGGCGCTGGCTCGCGACGGCACGAACGGGCAGAAGGAGTGGGCCGCGGCGGCGCTGGGGTGGCTCGCTGCCAACGCCGACAACCAGGTGGCGATTGCGGAGGCGGGCGGCATCGCGCCCCTGGTAGCGCTGGCTCGCGGTGGCACGTGGCGGTCGTGGCTGGGTGGCACGAACAACCGAAAGGAGGCGGCCGCGGGGGCGCTGGCGAGTCTCGCCCGCAACGCCGACAACCAGGTGGCGATTGCAAAGGCGGGCGGCATCGCGCTGCTGGTAGCGCTGGCTCGCGACGGCACGGACGGCCAGAAGTATGGGGCTGCGGAGGCGCTGCAGAACCTCGCTCGCAACGCCGAGAACCGGGTGGCGATCGCCAAGGAGGGCGGCATCGCGCCTCTGGTGGCGCTGGCTCGCGGCGGCACGGACGGGCAGAAGAAGCAGGCCGCGGGGGCGCTGTGGGGCCTCGCTCTCAGCGCCGACAACAAGGTGGCGATCGCGATGGCGGACGGCATCGCGCCTCTGGTGACGCTGGCTCGCGACGGCACGGACTGGCAGAAGTGGCTGTCCGCGGCGGCGCTGGCGTGCCTCGCCGGCAACGCCGACAACAAGGTGGCGATCGCGAGGGCGGGCGGTATCGCGCCACTGGTGGCGCTGGCTCGCAACGGCACGGATGGGCAGAAGGAGGCGGCCGCGGCGGCGCTGAGGAACCTCGCTTTCAAGCGTTTCGACGCTGACAACACGGTGGCGATTGCAAAGGAGGGCGGCATCGCTCCGCTGGTGGCGCTGGCTCGCGACGGCACGGACGGGCAGAAGTTTCAGGCTGCGGGGGCGCTGTGGAGCCTCGCTGCCAACGCCGACAACCAGGTGGCGATCGCGAGGGCGGGCGGCATCGCGCTGCTGGTGGCGCTGGCTCGCGATGGCACGGACGGCCAGAAGTATGGGGCCGTGGGGGCGCTGGGGCGCATCGCTCGCAACGCCGACAACCAGGTGGCGATTGCCAAGGCGGGCGGCATCGCGCCTCTGGTGGCACTGGCTCGCGATGGCACGGACGGGCAGAAGGAGTGGGCCGCGGCGGCGCTGGGGAACCTCGCTTACAGCAACGCCGACAACCAGGTGGCGATCGCGGAGGCGGACGGTATCGCGCCGCTGGTGGCGCTGGCTCGCGGCGGCACGGATGGGCAGAAGAGGGAGGCCGCGGGGGCGCTGTGGAACCTCTCTGACAACGACGACAACAAGGCGGCGATTCAGAAGGCAGGGTGGCGATAGCAGGCGTTGCAAGTCGAGTAGATTTCTTTTGCGTCGCCACAGGATCAGAGGGCGGGCGGGGCGGGCGTCGATGCGTGAAGGTATCTCCCCCAAAGTGCTGGTCGTGACCAGTTTGACGCTGCCACGTTCGGCCGTGCCCGAGAAGGGGCGCGGTCGACACCAGAAAGGGGTCGTATACGTTCTCTATAGACGACGTAGTCGTGGACGGCCGCAATCACAATTGGGACGGACACGACGGGGCGAGGTGTGAAAGCACAGAGGCAACTAACACGCACCAGGGTTCGGGAGAATGCTAGGGTTAGGGACGGGAGAGAGTGACGGGCTTCGGCCCGACATGAGCTTGACCTTGAGCGGCGAGGACTGAGAGCCGACGGGTCGGCGGATCAGACGCTCTCGACGCTATTAAACGCTGAAATCTTGAAAGGTGCGTTGATTGATGTAAAGGACCCCGCGGCATATTGAATAAGCTAGGTGAACAAAAAATCGAGTGCGGATGGGTAGGCCCTCAAACGGCGCGCGGGAGGGGTAGGGGGGGTGCCGCTATGGGGGTGTCGAGGGGTCGGGAGGGGGCGGCGGTAGTGTGGACCGTGACCTAAAGCCCTCCGCACCGATAGAGGTGTCAGGCGGCTGTGTGTGTGTGTGTGTGTGAGGGGGGGGGTGTCACGTCACTGCATCCTCTGCCGGTTCCTCCCGTCGCCTCTTCTTTGTTCGAATGTATTTCAATCCATCCTTCACGAAGCCCTCCCATGTAGCTAGCGTTCTTTGCGAATGTCTCGAAATGGCCAGCAGGCGCTGTCTGCTCGCGGTCTGTGCGGGCCGCTCGTCCTCCTCGCCCTTCTTTCGTCACCTCCCGTCCCTCCCCTCCACCATGGGCATGGGGCCTTCTCGGCACTTCTTTCTCCATCCGCCTCGCCCTGCCTTTTCGTATCGTGCCGTTCGCATTCGGTGACCTCCATGGCTGTCCACCTCCTTTTGGGTGGCGCTCTCGATACGGCTGCGTCAACCTCGACGTCGCTGTCGCCCTCCCGCCGTCCCCGCTCCGTCCTCGGTCCGTCGCGGTCCCGCGTGCCTCGCGGTTCGCGTCATCGCGCGGTAGGTGGCAACTCCAACTCCGCTCTCTCCGGGACCGCAACTGTCTTAATTTCTTGTATTTTTACACATCTCATAATCAAAAACGGACACGTCTCCCCCCCCCCCCACCATATCGCAGATCTCTCCCCACGGGCCGCCCTAAGCGCACCGTCCCGCGCGATGTGTCGGGGCGTGCGTGCTGCGTCCAGACCCGCGCCAGCTGCGCAACGGAGGGCCGCGACAGGACTCGACCACAGCCCCCCC